AAGGGCACCTTAGGGAGGGGTGAGGACATGGTGGTCACCGTGTAGAAGAGACGGCGCAGAGGAGCCTGACCTCTGCACCACAAACACACGCGCACACACACACACACACACACACGCACACACAACACGGCAGGGCGCGCTGTCATGAATGAAAGTCGGGCTGCAGACAGTCTCGTACAACGTGGCTCACAATTCAATTGGCAGACAGGTTAAGAAAAGTCACGAGATGATCACAATGAAGCTACACACACACAGACACACACACACACATAATGAGTAACTGGATGTAGTGCATATAGACTTCTCTGGGATGCAGAGATACTGGTAAGAATCCCATGTGGGGGGGGAGACAGTTCCACATCACAGTTTAAAAGACATGCGTCCAAGTGTATCGTACCTGTGCATATTGTACCTGTATTGTACCTATGCATATTGTACCTGTACATATTGTACCTGTATTGTACCTGTGCATATTGTACCTGTACATATTGTACCTGTATTGTACCTGTGCATATTGTACCTGTGCACATTGTACCTGTATTGTACCTGTGCATATTGTACCTGTACGTATTGTACCTGTGCATATTGTACCTGTACTGTACCTGTACATATTGTACCTGTATTGTACCTGTGCATATTGTACCTGTACTGTACCTGTGCATATTGTACCTGTATTGTACCTGTGCACATTGTACCTGTATTGTACCCGTGCATATTGTACCTGTACTGTACCTGTGCATATTGTACCTGTATTGTACCTGTGCACATTGTACCTGTATTGTACCTGTGCATATTGTACCTGTATTGTACCTGTATTGTACCTGTGCATATTGTACCTGTATTGTACCTGTATTGTACCTGTGCATATTGTACCTGTACTGTACCTGTGCATATTGTACCTGTACATATTGTACCTGTGCATATTGTACCTGCATTGTACCTGTGCATATTGTACCTGCTTGTTTGACCTGTATTGTACCTGTGCATATTGACCTGTATTGTACCTGTGCATATTGTACCTGTGCATACTGTACCTGTATTGTACCTGTACTGTACCTGTGCATATTGTACCTGTATTGTACCTGTGCATATTGTACTTGTACTTGTCTTGGTTTGGCCAACAGGGTTTTCATGTGCAATGACGGATATTTCGAGTGCACTATTTAGCTTTCACCTCCTTTCAAAGGCGTTTGTTTGGCTAAACTGTTGGTCTTATAAAAGGTTGCAAGGTAAAAGTATAAAGATTATATCTGATACAAGTATATATTTCAATGTAAAACCTTATTGTGCAAATGACCTCCATCTGTCATTACAGTATGCACTATAGAATAAAACACTTGCCTCTCAGGAATAAGCAGCAGCACATTTTGAAGGAGGACTGAGGTCCAAAGGGGAGAACAAAGCTGTGGTGACACATGACGCCGCTTCAGGGAGGATTTGAACATATCCAGAGGAAGCATATCTATCTACACTGGACTCCATGTGTGGTCTTAAAGGGGTGCAGGGAGGAACGACCTCTGCAGTCGGAGCACGGAGGCGATGCCACAGGCCCTGATAACGGGCGGTAAGGCGACAGGGCAGTGATGGCGCTAAAGGACAAAGCGTGGAGGGAGGTTAGCAGGAAGAGGGCGAACGCCGGCGTACAATGGGGGAGGTGGAAGGGGGCGAGAGCATCAGAGCGATGAGGTGCGAGCGTGAGGAATTGTTGCGGGTTGAAAAGGAGAAAGAGACCAAAGAACGACGGGAAAAAGTCAGAAAAAGTTTCCTTGTTCTGTAAAAGGTTTGAGATGAACCAACAAGACCAACTACTGCGTTATTTAATGCGCCAGAATCCCCGCGAGGTCCTACTGACCCAGTCACATGTCAAACACAGCGTGCTTTTTAGGCCATTCCGACCCACAATCCCTTGCACAGCAGGAGATAGGTCACGTCAGCGGAGCCCGATGACAGCCGATGACAACTCGCTGAAGGAAGATATCGGGGGCGGGGGGGGGGCACGGCTCAGCATGTTAAGACCAAGCGGTTTGTCTCAAGCGGACACGCGTCTCCCTCAACTTCACAGGACGCCTCCTGTTGACCTTCAGGTTCTGTCTGATGTACTTGATCACATGGTTTTGACTTTGCAACGGCGAGTGCAAAGCGCTGGAGAGGATCAGCAATGGAGGCGCTCTGCTCCGCCTTCCTCTGGAGACTCCTCCCCCTTCCAGACGGGTCGAGGGGGACTCCTCACTCAGTCTGTCACTGTCAGCTCTGCGCTGCCGTGTAGCTGCCTCCCTCCGTCACTCCTTTGTTGTGCGCCGAAGGCCGCCGCATCAAAGTGGCAGCGACACACACACACACACACACACACACACACACACACACAAAGAGAAGACCCACTGTGCAATTCAGTCAGTTGGGCTGGCTTTGTAGACTGCATCTGTTCTGCGCCCTGTCATTCTCCCTTTGCACCCCACCCTCTGTGACAGGTGGAGGCGATTCAGGAGACACACACAAAGCTCACAGAGACCCAAAAGTCACCGCACACACACACACACACAGACAGACACACACCTGCTGGGGGGGCCGTGCTACGGGGCCCCGTGGTGCCAGGCAGGCGGAGCAGCACGTCGCATGTTTACACCACCTGCTCTCAGCCCGGCCAGCGGAGGAGGGATTAACACACACACACACATACAGTAGACAGATGTACATGAGAGCAGTAAAGCATGCCGCAGGTCAACAAGGTCAAACATATTCGTCTTTTGATACACAGGGACACGTCCATACGTCCACCAGCGTCAACCCACCGGGACGGACGAGTCTTCTTCTCACTTACTGACTGATGCGTGTCATTAAAAAATAAAGGACCACCGACCTTCTGACCTCGGACTAATTTCTACAAACAACTTCCTGCAGATCAGGGCTGAGCGCGACGAGGCCGCATCTCCTTTGTTGGTTTAATCGCTGGCTTGTAGAAACAAGAGTTAATTAGGTTAAAGGAAAATAAATAAATACCCGAGCTTTAGTAAAAACAAAGAATGGAAAGTTGGCAAAACGTGAGACAAAGGGCCGCGGTTTTGGTAAGAAAGAGATGTAGTTCACGAGGAAAAGTGCCGATGTCATCTGCGCTCAGCCAGGAATGTATTCTGTGGGATCACTGCCAACTTCTCCCAAGAAAACCCAGTTCCTTCAATATGCCAAAGAACAGGAATGCTGGGAAACTTTCTGAGGGGTCTTGTCATCTCGGGGGGGGGGGGACCTGCCAGAGGGCATGAAGCTGTGGGCTGACAGAGTGTGTGTGTGTGTGTGTGTGTGTGTGTGTGTGTGTGTGTGTAGGAGCTCTCCCGATAGCGGGTCTATTTTAGAGACACTCGTGCAGCGGAGACATTTCTTAGTTATCTGCGGTTTCCAGCCACGAGGAGGTGAGAGTCTGCATCCAGTCTCAGTGTGATCAGGCTGAGCTGCCAGAAGAAGTGTGAGTAGGTGTAGGTGCAGCTCCCCCCCACCACACACACACACACAACAAACCCTGTGGATGTGCATGGATGTTGTTGGAGGAGGAATAGTTTCACAGCATTAATTGCCACAGTGCAGCCTGCTGATAATTGGGCTGCACAAACAGAGTGACAGGAGCTGAAATCACATTAACATAAAAATACAGACACACACACACACACACACACAATACAACAGTGAACAAACAGTGCAGAACTTCTCCTGGTGGGTAACACACACTCAGTCAATCCTTCGCTCTCTTCCACAGTAAAGGGAGGGAGAGGGGGGGAGGAGGGGGAGAGACTACAGGTTCAGGTGGTTTTCGAATGGAAAAGGTCCACATATGGAGATGAGCGAGTGTATAAAAAGAGATGAGTATTTCCTGAGAGACGTGCAGAGTAATTGGGAGGCTTTATGGTGATTGACACGGAGAAAAAAAAAAAGTCAAATGGCGAGAGCCGCGTGCTGAGCTCAGCTCGCCGTGCTGCGTGTACTCTGAAGGAAACACTGCAGGCTCGTTGTCTTGGGATCTGCACCACAGCAGCAAGGATAATCTCATAGAAGAAGCAGAAGAAACCAGCAGATTGGATGTTTTAGTCATTCGCTTCCTCGGGGATTTGTTACTGTGTGATGTAGGAGGAGATATTTGAAAACAGGCTGGAGCAGCGGGATCTACTGCTCTCGAGATCCTGAGGAGGCCTTGGAGCCGCGGTGCAGAACATCATGAGGCATTCTACAGGCTTTGGCACCATCTGCAGGACTCCAGAAACACCGGCCAATGAAACCCCTCAGCCGGCCTCCCTCTTCAACGCCGGGCAACAGAACAAAGTGCATCTCCTCACAGAAGCACGACGCTTCCAAACGGGGGGAAAAAGAACAAAACATGCTTAACACTTTAGGTTGAATTCTAGACACTAATCTGGTTGCTTTTATTGGACAAGCTAATGTTGGCAGCAGAAACTGATTACTGTTGATGAGCAACACCCACAAAATAGTTGGTCACACCAGAGAAATAAATGGTGACAATTGTGTAAAAAAGGCCATTATTGTCAAGTTTGATAGAACCAGATTTGGTCCATTTCTGCCACCAGGTGGCACTGTGGCCCTGGACTGAACCGCTAATCTATGACGTCATTCCGCATCAGCTTCCCCCTTTAACTTAATTTTCCAGTCTCATCGGATTCATGACATGATTAATATGGAGTCCGTGGTTGCAAGCGTTAGTGTGCCCCCCCACCCCCCACCGCAGGGAGCCTTTGGTGCATAGCGGATATGATTTAGCTGGCCTGGTTTATGAGGCTAATAAACAGTCTTTAAACGAGCCAGATGTTCATATTGATACGTAGAATAGCTCATCGGGTCAACAGTTCACATGTCCCCCCTCCACTGCAGGTCAATTGGCACAATATCTCCAATCAGGGAATTTTATTTATCCGACTGTCCTTCAGAGTGTGAGCGGCCCATTAATGTCCTGACGTTGATCTGCATTGGTCACATGTGTTGAAAACAGAAGGCACACAGTGTTTGACTTTCTCCAAAAGATTTATTGAACAGCTACAGTTTTCTTGCTGGCAGCTGAAACCTGTGGAGAAAAACAAGAAAAGAAACATGAGGCATATTCAGGAATTAAGTCAAGCAGACCGCGTTGAAGTGTTTTTGAACAACGTTGTCTCCTAAAAGAAAAAGAAAGAGATCCTACTACTCGCTGTGTAAAAAGTATTTTAAATGGTTCATCGTGCTGCCATAGAAACTATTTACTCCTGTTTATCAATCGCGATCAAATGAACATTCCATTTTCTTATTCTTACTAAATAGAATTTTATCATGTATTGTGCAACTTCAGGAAGCAAGATAGTATCAAAAAATGCAATTTCAAGGGGGCTTGATTTTGGGGACAGTTACGAGGAGAGCGGTTTCCCTCATTTAGTCTTCTACGGAAATGACACGCAGCTTTTAAAAAGCTATCAGAAGCTACAACACAGAAGGGGGAGCGGCGCCACAGCAACACGCCGTAGGGCCAGTTTCAGGGGCAGGCAGGTGGGCGGGGCTGAGCCTGCTCATTAGCATGCTGCTCATTAGCATGCTACCCATTAGCGTGGGTAAACAAGTAGAAAAGTGGTGCCATACGGCGAACTAGCTAAGCATGAAATTCCCTCCACATGTTTACCCCGTTTACCCTTGGATCGTCACAACACTGCTGCCCGGCTGCTGATATTTTTTGACAAGACCCAACTGAGATCCGTTTGTAAGCGAAGGCGAGCAAACAATGCCAGTAGCGCGCCACACAAATCACTCTGCTGGTGGAGGAGAATTCGCCCGGAGGACGAGTTGTTTGAAGAGCCTTGCATGGCGAAGCGACACTGCGGCTGTGTACTCCCATAACAGATGAGGTGTCGCAGCAACGCAACGGGGCGGCGTGCGTGTGATCACTCGCGCTGGCGGCACAGCCGGGAGGGAGTCTTAGTGTCACATGAAGCGCCAGTGTGACACGCAGTCAAAAACAACCTTTTCCTGGCCGCTATCAGGCTGCACGGATATTCATTCAGCCACACGGACGCTGATAGCGGAGCGTTCATATTCCAGCAGTAGGTTGGGCCGGGCTGTAGCGCACATGCTAAAACGCCACAGCTTCATTTTTAAAGCAGCGGCTCGCCAACACCCCTTAGTGTTGTTCCATTAATGAGGGGTAAAGAGGAAAGGGGGTATGGAGGATTTAAGATGGTCTTTACCATCACCAAAGAACATGCAACGTTAAACATAACTAGCAAAGACAAGTTAGTCGCTCACCTGGCCGGCAATTCTATCCAGGTCTCTGGTTCCCTGGGAGGTGACTCTGCGACCACTGAGGGAAAGTAGACAAATATCAAGTACAGGACACAACTCAAAGACCAATACTAAAGTCAGGAAAAGCCACACAGCAATATACCAGCCACACAGAAATCTAATCCTGCCCACTTTGAATGATGTGTGTGTGATTACAGCTTCACTAAACACTCAGGAAATCCAAGCTTACAGATTTAAAGTCTGATTTCATTAATGTGGGTTTTACAAACTTAATAGTATTACCAGTTAGTGAGTGCAACAACAACAACGCTGAATCTATACAGAAATATCTAAAAACCTGTTAATCTGCATTATCACAAAACTAATAAATATTACGTCTTGTACAGAGTCCAAATCCTTTTGTACAACATTGCACTTCAATAAATGGCTACAGATTAAATTAAGACAAATGGACAGAAAATCCATTTTCTGTGACTGAAACTTTGCCTTAGTTTTATTTGAACTAATTGTAACTTATCAAATATAAAACTAAACTGCAACCATTTTGATAATTGTTTTAAATGGAATTGATCGTTGTTGCTGCACTAATCAGAATCCGTTGATTGAAAAGTACATTACACAGAAGGAATACATGAAATGGCTGATTAAAAAACGCAATCAAGGCAGCGCTGAACATAACTGTATTGAATGTTAATTGACTACTTGTAACAAATGAATATTAGCACGTCTAGTTTTTAATGTAGCCCATCTAGTGGATACAATAACTGGAGGTACTAACCCATTGGGATCCTTCTCGATCATCTTGAGGAGCTCGAGGGCCTGCAGCACCTTACGAGCCACGTTCTTGGATCCTACACTAAAATGAGCAGGACACACACCGTTCCTCTGGCGACCGCCGTAGATCTTGGTCATGGAACCTACACCAGCACCTCCACGGAGGTACAGATGGCGGACTGTCGATGCTGTGGGAGCAGAGGGGGATGAAGGTGCAAAGTCAGTACCTTGCCTTAAAAGTGCCCTCTAAGAGGGGAAAGGCATTACTTGGGTAAATGGACAAGAAATCAGGACAGAAAAGGATTAAGTGGTGCCGTTTCATATTTCATGGTGTGGATCTCCAAGCAGTGAGCGTCCTATCCGTAAAAAAGTTTTTTTTTAAAAAGACAAAAGTATGAATACAAGCCATGGCACTCAGGGGTTATTCAAGTGGACCAGTAACATCGGCTGTCAATCATTTCATAGATTTGAACGTCCATCAGGGCCAACATTCGCAATACAATTATGCTATTTAAAAGTAACATTAAATAACATTTTATTTGTCAGAATAGTTAGACATTAGAATCGGAATGTGAAAAAATATATCCTAATTTTAAAAAATAAGTGCAAGGGACACGGAGCGGGCGATGCATTGGGCTTGGTGCAATGCGGTCGGATGTTGGAGACGTTCATTTATATGTAAAATGAATATTGCAGCACGATTTCAGAATGTGCGATGTGTCATTTTATCGCATATCGACAGGCCTAAAAATCACAGGTTTGTGCCGACACTTTGAGCAGAGTAAAGCCAGCCTGCAGAGCGACAGCCACCGTTATGATGAAAGCAACACGTAGAAAAGGAATGCATTCTTTTGCTCAATAAGCACTTTACGCCAAGATAAAAGACCCTCTTTGAATGAAGGTAAAAAAGAAATGACAGTGGAATCTTAGAATAATCTTTTGACTTACCGGCTCTGATGTAGAACCAGTTCTCATCACTTGGGGCAAGCTCCTTGTGTTTACCCAGCTTGACGAGGTCCACCCAGTCAGGCACCTTCAGCTTTCCTGACCTGGAGACGGGAGGCAAGCGTCCGTAAGCACAACACCACAGAAGGCCGTGGAGGAGTTCTCCACCCGAGAAGACTCAGTGGAGACACTGAAGTGAACCAGGTGAAGTAGAGACCAACTTTTAAGTCAACAACTACACTTCATACTCCAAGAGCAGCTAAACAGTCACCACAACTTAAGCCACAGACATGATGCTAGAGTGATATTCCAATCTGCTCTGACCCATTCACAACTATGTGAACACAAGCACAGCATCCTTGCTCCGCAAAGAGTGCAGTTATTTTGCAGCGTTGCCTTTTAGTAAAGTCTTTAATTGTTTTCACAATGACTTTATGATGTGTGGCTGCTCTTGACACAGCATAATAATCCTTTACGCCTAAAAAACGTTTACGCCTAAGAAATGTATATTTAATTAGGCTAAAACGTATTTCCCGCTAACAGCGCAGGTAGTATTAACTCTGCATTAAGCTCCACATGTCGGGGAGAGCTTGATTCTCACCCATTCAGCCCACACGTTGTACTCACTTCTTCAGGAAGGCCGCCAGGGCTCGGACAAACTCCTGCTGGTTGACGTCTTTCACCGTGACACCAGGCATCTGGGACGAGACACACGTTTCAGGGATATGAACAAACACAGCCCCGCTGGAGAGCACGGTGGTGGTTCTTTGTTGAATAACGGGAACAAGAGTCTCCCGTTTTCACAGCGAGCACGCGACAGGCTCAAACCACATCGGTAACTTCGGGGCTGAGTGGGTACGACCGGGTTCCCTCGGCTCAGCGAACTACCAACGCGATGTACGGAAGAGCTAATGGAGATGCATTTAATCAAAAGAACGGTCAAACCAACTATTTTAGCGGCGGTTTAAGTGTTAGGGACCTCAGCTGCACGCGCAGCCTGTAGTAGCGTCACATACAGCAGGGAAGGCTAACGATCAAGCTAACTTTCACCGACCCGTTACAAGAGGAACAATTAAGTTAATACTGGTAATTTCTAAATCCATAACATTGATCGCAATAGCGTCACCGGTCCAGGGAAATCAATTTCGTTAAGTTGTACTTTAACGTCACATTTATACAAAACACAAAACGCATAAACGCGACAGCTAGCCGCTAACTAGCTAGCAGGCCTCAACGCGGTAGCATGGAGGCAGCCATTACGGACAAGAGCTAAAGTGAAGCCGCATCATTCAAGTATAATTGTTTTAAGAACGAAAGAACGCGTCAAATAACCCCGTTTAAAGCTCAACCAGTTTGTTAACGTGTAACTCATATCCTATATGGCCACATGTGTGAGAAACCGCTTTAGATTTTAAGCCATTTAGCAGCATATAACAGAGAACGACATGTAGCGCTTTACCTTGCTTGTGGACAGCGAAGGGAAGAGGGTGGAACGGGGTTTCCAACGGATGTTAAAACGGGCAAATCTCGTTCTGTAACGCGAGACCAGAGCGTTGTTTTTTGCATCGATGCCGCTCATCACACTCGCCGAACATGTTGGCTCAATCCCGAAGTCTCCCCAGAACCCTAAACGCGCATTTACATTACATTAATTGAACGTATTTATTTCATATTTTTATACGTCTTCCAGGTTCTTTACTGTTTACTCATGAGATGAGAGGTCATTTAAAAAAAATGTTTTACTGTTTTTTTTGTTTTGATAAAATAGCATAAATGACTAAATTGAATTGGTTGGGACTGGGCCATTATTACTCCGTCCCATTCATTGAAGTACAGTTTCTAAAGTAGTATTACCTTGAATAATCACATTTAGATTTTCACATATGCTCCAGAAAAAGGGAAATTGTTCATTTTGAGATTACTGGTGTCGGAAGTATCAGTTTATATTTTAACTGAAGATACAGAGGATGGAACATGTGACATGACAGTGTCATACTGCTTGTGTAATCTGTATTTTCCCTTCCTACCCTCCTCGGGTCCCCACTTCCACAATCAACCAATGCTATGCAGCTGCATCTCAAAGCGCAGCCGGCAGAGGCTTCTTTGGAACTGTCTCTGTTTTGTTATTGTGCAGCTTTATTTATGTGGGACTCAATTGAGCCCAAAAAGTCGTGAGTTTCTTTTGGCTGACCCAGGAAAAATGATTAGTATAGTATGATATGGCTGGGGTTTTTATTTTGGAGATACATGCACATTCTCCTGGCACAAGCTGATTTGCATGAAAAAAAATAATAAACTGGATCGTTTGAAGAAGGCAAAATTCAATTCTTAGATCTTTTTTCAGTTGCTCCAGGCTTAGTTATCTCTAGTGGTCAGTAGAGCTTTATACATTTCTACGTATTGATTGACTGATGTAAGATTCCAGGAATAACATGGATAATGTGAAGAATAAGCCTGAAGGTAGATTCTTGATGGAAGGTGAGCATTCGCCCTGCAGCTACCCGAGCAATACACCTGTGCTATCTGCCTAATTTGTTTCATGGAACGATGCCTAGATGAGACAGTAATGTCTTCGCTCATCTCTATTACCTCCAGCTCAAACGCACTCCATCAAAAAGCAAATTGCCTTCAGAGTCACGAGTCACATATTTTCCTTTGTCTCTTTACAATTACAATTAAACTGGAGTAATCCCCAAAATCTGAGCAAATGAACAAAAAAATGGTTAAAACTTCTGTGCATTTGTCGGAGCTCGTATGTGCATATGTGCTTTATTTACATATCCCCCATCTGTCGGTGGTGGCGTTGCCCTTTGCACATCTCCGATGGAAAGGGCAGCCTCGCTCCAACATTGACACAATTGATATGTTTGCAAAGACAGCGCGAGAGATTTCAAGTCAGGTGGATAAGCAGAGGTTTATGAATCCGGTTTATCCGTCGTCAGTGGGGGCTGACAGTCCGGAGTGAGAGAGATAGACATCCTGGAGGGAAATAAAAAGGTATAAAGCCACGCAGGGGAGAGATTACAGAGCTTTGTATAAACTGTCTGTTTCGTCGTTGGGCTTCACAACAGGTAACTGCACTTTTCTATCCATCATTTACTTTGACTTCACCATAATTGCACTCTGAAAAAATTCTGCCCACGCTGAAAGGCTCGGCCCCGTAACCTGAATGTTGTTTCAAAGAGCCTGCTTGATTAATTAAGGTAATTACACTGGGAGTGACCGGCCAACTGTTTGAATGGAAAACTCACACAAGGTGGATTTAACGCCATTAATTACTTCAGTAGATCAATTTTGCAGAGTCCCTTCAAGTGTTGAATCAGGAGTGTGTTGTGTAAAGTGATTATGAAGGTTACTTCAGCCACGATTATTGCGGGAAAAGAAACGACGGACGCCGACGGTTTGGAAAAGGTCAAACTAATTACACGGAATGGACAGGCGTCATATCGCCCTGACAAATACGTTATTTCCATATCCGCACTCTGCTTCACGTTAGACTGTTACCTTTGAAAATGCGCTGAAATTAGCTGTCAATCATCTTCTGAACAATCTGCTGGAAATGACTCACTCGGTAGAGCGTGTGCGCCTGTGTGGTGAGTGCAAGTGTTGAAGTGTTTACACAAAACTGCCCGGGCCTGTTTGGTGTTTTCCCGACAGTGCGAGAGCGTGCGAATGATGCATGGGGAGCCGGCGGGAGAGCCGAGGCGAAAACAAAGCAAAGAGGAGAGCGGAGAGGGTGTTAACACCGTGTTGCCGCCCAGCTCGGCGCTTGTTGCTCGGCGCGCGCCTCCTCGGAGGAGAGCTCCTGTCAAGTCGGCGCCTGACCTTTTCACTCTCAAAGGCCCGCTTGCAGCTCTCCGATACCTATCAGGGATTCCTACGCTCCCCGTGGCACGTCTCTCCGCCACCAGCGTGAACTTTCATCACATTTTCTACCCTTCCACGTCCGCGCTCCCTCCCTCTCTTACTTGGGTGCATTTAATATTCCCGCCCCGCACCCCCCCGTGTTTAACTTTGTCACTCCGTTCTCATTTGTATTCCCTCTGGTCTCCGCCCTTCTCTAAGTTTGATCATTCCTTCGACAGTGCAAGTTAACTGCGGGGGGCAGCCCGCTGAAAGAGAACATAGGGCGGGAGCCGCCACCACAGTGGGATTGAACAAGGCGGCATTTGCGTAAACATCGACATTTTGTTTTTGCTCTTTCACACTGTTGTCTGTAATGACATTTTAAATTGCGTCCTTTGCATTTCTCAGTCTCTCTTCGCCCCCCCCACCCCCCCCCCCCCTGGGAAATGGACGGCATGGGGGTGTACTCTCTGTGCCAGTGCATCCTGTCGGCGGCTGTGGTCGTGGCGAGCGTGAGGTTGTGCATGGCCGCGAGCGGCAGCGGGGCCGGATCCCAGGGGGCCACGCTCCAACCCGGCAGCGTCTCATGCTGTCTCCGCCTGTGCTTGGGCTGGGCGGGCGCCGTCGGGGGCGCAGCCGGGATCCCCGCGAACGTGTTGCTCAACCAGCGAACCCCGCAGTGTCTGTACACGTGCATAACCTTGGTGTGTTGCCCCCTGCTGGTCAGGCAGTTCACCATGTTCCTGTTGATGCTCCTCACGCTGGATGGCCACCTGCGGCACCGCTTGGCAGACAGGTAAGTCTGTCAGTTTGAGCAGTGGAAGAACCAAGAGCTGTTGAATGTCACGGTATTGAATAAACACACAAAACAACATGAATATAAAACAGCACTACATACCGTCGATGGCAACGGCATGTAACATTTTCATAGCACGGGTGAGGGCGAAGACGGCAGTAAAGCAAAAAAAAAATCCATATGGGAAGATCAAAAAACAGCAGAAAGTCAAGATTTTCCCCCGCGTGACACATCGATAGGCCTCTCATTGATCACCAGGAAGATTTGTATCACACACTGCTTACGCTGCCTTCGGAGAGAAGCAGAGGTGAGGGAGCACATTTCAACGGGCTCAGGGCCTTTTGATATTTGAGAGAGGGTGACCTACAAGTCCGGCCTTCAGCGTTAGAAAGAGAGAATTATCTATCGTTTTGATGGGCTTCAATGTCTTCGCACCAGTTCGTGTGGGTAGAAGGGAGGTTTTTGTACATCAGATTTCCTACATAGGTCTATTTTGGCATCAAGGCGTCTTGCTGTCACTGCTGTGTTTGTGAACGGCAGGTACTCCTCGGCGATGACCCGCCAGCGAGCTCTCTGCCTGGTCCTCCTGTGCTGGGTGGCCTCCGTCCTGTCCTCCTTCTCCCAGTTCATCGGCTCGGACGTCCTCGACACCTGGAGGAGCCGCGCGACCGACCCGGACACGGCCGGCCTCGGGCTGCACGGCAACTGGACGACGCCGCCGCCTTCGCCCCGCCTTACGTCTTCCCCGCCCCTTAGGTACGACCACGGGCGCAAGGTCATCGGCAAGTACCTTCCGTACGGGGGCTTCCTGTCAAAGTTTTACGTGGAAGACATGCACAACTTCACCTACGCCGAGATTCACAGCAGCCACTGGGGGGTGTGCGCCGCCGACACCGTTCTCAGCCCCCAGTTCTTGATCTACGTCCACGGGACGACGGCGTTCATGCTCCCCTTGCTTTGCCTGCTGCTGGTCTACCTGGACCTGTTGTGCGTCAGGCCCGGGAAGACGCCTCTCAGTCACGCAGACCCCACTAAACGTGCGTCGCGGCAGGCGCGTTCCCCGGCGCTGTCCCTTTCCCTTTTAGTCCTCCTGTGCCTGCCGCTCCACATCGTCCACGCCCTCCTGCTCTTCACCTCAGGCACCAATCTTCCCGCCTGGGTTCACGCCGTCGCCGTGTTCCTCTTTCAGCTGTACGGCCTCGTGCCCCCGATCCTCTTCACTCCGCCCGGGAAACGAGTCGGGGGAGAGAGGGCGTCCTTTCCCCTCTCGGTCGCCCCCCTCCCGCCTCCGGGAGCAGCGGCGGCGTCCGGAGGGAAATCGGTGCGCGCGGCGCTGCGCGAGGCCGTGCGGGCGGCCCCCTGGTCCTCAGCCAAACGCTCCCTGAAAGCCAAAGTCTTCCCAGAGGTCTGAAGTCTTCCCGCTCAAACAAGCGCGCCGTTGTTTTTGTGTTCCCGCCATGTTTTGTGTGCATGCGGGTTAAAAAAAAAAAAAAAAAAAAAGGCAAGTGTTTGCAACAGCTTGCGGACTGACGGAGAACAAACACGGCGCGGCGTTTGTTGTCCGCCTGTTGACTAATCAGCAACCTGGCGCAGACTCCATGAATAACTTGTAAATGAAAAGGCCAGTTAATTATCAGGGCCCACACCAAATGTCAGCGAGAAGTCTCTCGGCGATGAAATCCTGATCGCAGATGTCTGTTGTCTTTGACTGCCCCCCCCCCCCCTCTCCCCCCCCAGTGGTATTATCATAAGCCCTCTAAGTCTGTGCTAAGCCGACCACCAGCGATGTAGATATGAGTGACAGCGTTTAATTAAACACTCAGTGAAATGTGGTCCAGAGAGGACGCGGCGGCGTAGGGAAAACATCATTAACCTGGTTA